GCCAGCACACCCACTGTGCCAGCCCCACCACCTTGGCAAAGCCACAGCACCTGCCCCACACCATCCCTGTCCCGCTGGCACAGCCCCACTGCCCTCAGTGTGCCCATGGCACTGGCCTTGTTCTCCATGGTACCAACCCTGCTGCTCCCTTTAGACCCATGGCACTGACCCCATTGCTCCTAGTACACCCATACCACCAACCTCATTATTCCTAGTGCCGCCGTGGCACTGACCCCATTGCCCCCGAATGCCCCAAGCACCATCCCCACTACCTGGCCATCCCAGTGTACCCACAGCCCCGGCACCCCTCACCTCCTTGGCTCTGCTGTCGGCCGCCCGGATGGCATCCCTGGAGCTCCGCAGGGTGCTCCTTGCTGCTGTTGCCTGCATCCGTGCTGCCTCCAGTGCCCGCTGTGTCCCCACCAGCTCATCTCTCACACCTTCCGCTCGCTCCCTGCAGCCACACAAGCAGCTCCAGCCCCTGCCAGCACTGCAGGATGGACATTCACTCCCTGCATGCCCCAGCATGTCACCTGCCACTCACCTGGCATCCTGTCCCTCTGCCAGCAGGCCCCGTGCCTTGGCCAGCCCCTGTGCTGTGCTGTTCAACACCACATCCACCCCCTCCAGCTGATCGATGCTCTTCCGCATCTCCTGCAGCAGCTCCTGAATCCGGCCAGGGCTGCTGGGCAGGGAGAGGGTCAGCACCTGCCGGGCCACCAGCTCGATGCTGCCTGGGTCAGCTCCTTCCTCTGCAGGGACATAGGAGTGGGGTAGACTCAGGCTGACCCCCACCATGCCCATGTGCCCACCCTGTGCCAGTGCTACCTGCCAGGAAGGCCTTGATGCGGCGGGTGAAAGCCCGCAGCTGGGCTGTCGCCTTCTCAGCGCGGCTGCGAGTGGCCTGCGAGCGCCCCAGGGCCTCCTCCGCCTGGCTCCGTGCCCCCCGGGCCAGCTCCTGCACCTCCTGCGTCTGGGGGACATGGGGCTGAGTGGGGGCACAGGGTGGCCCCAGGGAGGGGTGGGCGGGGGATGCAAGGGGACATGCACAGAGACAGGATGAGGGCATGCAAGGGGGTGTAATGGGATGTGCAAAGGAGCACAGGGGTCAGGCAAGGGGACACGAGGGGGTGTGCAACAGGGTACACAGGGGCATGGAACAGTAGGTGCAAGGGGACATAAAGCAATGGCCTGAGGGGGCAGACAAGTAGCACAAGGGACATCTGGAAAGGGGTATAAGAGGGACATACAGGGAGTGCATGCTTGGGGCACGGGAAGGGCACAAATGGGATGTACAAGGCGACATACAAAAGGGACATGGAAAAGGCATAAGTGGGATGTGGAAGGGGACATCAAAGTGGCATGGAAAGGGTACAAGAAGGACATGCAAAGGGGACACAAGGGGACATCAGAACATGCCACAGAGATACTGCCCCTACCTTCTGCACCACAACCCCCAGCTGTCCCAGTGCCACCTCCAGCTGCTGTGAGGTGTTATGGGCGCTGCTCAGGGCCCGAGCTGAGACAGGCAGTGCCCCTGTGCATCCTGTGCCACCACAGCGCCGTGTCCCCATGCTGTCCCGGCACAAGGCTCCTCCACAAGGTGCTTGCTCGCAGCTCCGGTCCCCAGGTACCCCACAAATCTGTAGGGATGCCAGTGGTAAAGATGGCAGCTCAACACTGCATGGGGGGAGAACCGGCACGGCGTTCTCCCACCATGAGCCTATCTGCACCCTCGCTGGTCCCACTCTCACCTTCTCATTGACCCTGGTGATGCTGAGTCCCATCACCCGTTTCCGTGTTTCCCGCAAGGATTTCCGTGCCGCAGCAGCGCCGCGGTGGAAAGCATCGCCCCGCTGCCGCAGCGCCCGCTCGGCCGCCCGCCGTGTCATCTGTGACCTGTCCAGCCCTCCTTCGGCCCCCCCCCCCGCCCGCCGCGAGTCCTCCGCTGCTGCCAGGATGCTGCGGTACGACTCTGCGAGGGACAGTGTCAGGGGGCAGCAGGGATGGTTGGCACTGAAGCCCCCTAATCCTCACTGGATGCTCTTACCGCTGAATCCAGCTGCCACCACGGTGCCAAGCAGGATCTGGAGGTGGGAGGTGGTTTGGTTGAGACCGCCCAGCTGATGGCTCAGCCCGGCCAGCCGGTCACGTTGCCGGACATCTGCATGTGCCAGCTGATCCAGATGTTGCTCCAGGTCTTGGAGCTGTTTCCAGAAGTCATCCAGCTCCGTTCTTTGGGGGGGAGAGAAGTCTCAAGCTTTTTTGTGTTACAAAATGGAGGTCCCCACCACCGAGGCCACTGCTCACACTTGCCTGGTGTTGTCCAGCCACCGAGGCAGCCCACTGAGGAGGGGGCTGCCAGGGATGCCCCCCTCCCC